ACCCGTGCTTCAACCCTGGGATTGTGCGGTAACTGCGCCACTTCACATCAGGCGAAACACGCTAAACGAAACTTTGTCCAATATCCAAGGAGAGCTAGATGTACGTATGTGAGACGTACGCTATACCACCCTGGGTTGCTACGAGCGCCACTTTTTGATGATCCTTAATTGAATTTTTTGTTTTTGTAGTTACAATAACATGCATAACATATATCTACACATCCATGTACATACATTTTAAGCTTTGTGAAATAACAAGTATTCTTGGTACCGAATGCAATCCTATCAAATTTACAGCAACTTTCTTACGGGTAACTTCTAATACAAACTCGATCCCATGATTTACTACAGATCAACAGCAACCACCGTATTTTACATCCATCATATAAGACAGAGTTACTAGTAATTTCAAAAATGCCATATAAACAAAATAGTCCGCATGATGAACATTTGTGGGGACGCATCTCTGGGTGCATCGCCTTAGAGATGTATCTCATAGATGCATCATTGGTTTTCTTCACGCTTTCTCAAACTCCACACCTTTCCTCAAATTGGTTTCAGTTTAACAACTATTATTATGCAGCACTAACGAATGGAGACCAGAAACAGCGCAGGAGATCCGACAATCTATAGCGAAGGAGTATAAGAATTACCTGAATCTCTTAGCAAGATTGTTAGAATTTGGAGACTTCTTTCAGATTACGTGCACGAGTCAGGTTCTTTAGAGCGCAAGCCACGTTTCTGGTCTACGTTTTTTCATGGAATTAGTATAATATGATTACTTATCAGAATGAGTGTAGTTCAAAGGCTCTTCTTTACAAAAAATTCCGGAAGACATTTCTGGCCTTAGCCCTTCTTCAGATCAACTGAAACAGCAATGGCACAAGTAATACAACACATGAATACCTTGTCAATAAGTGGTGCGTCACCGACGTCGTCCTGCTGGGGAGGAGCGAGGGAGGAAGACATGAGGGCTGATACAGGAAAATGGGGATGGAATGCTCTTATATGATTAGGAAAGATAACGATCTTCCTATAGTCACGGCGGCTTTCCCTCTCGCACTTAGCATTGGCCCATATTTCTGCCAGCTTCATCGCCATCTTCATTTCCTCCTTATTGTTATTAATCGTTGGTGCACACTGCATTATTTCCAATGCTTCCCTTATCTTTCGCTCGACCGCGTCAGTCACATGATTACTGCAACCCACATACTCCAAAGTTACCTGTGGTAAGTGACCTACCCATAAGTCAGCGATTTTCAGCTTCTTTCCAAGAGACACCCAACTCATCGTTTGTAGTTATTGCCTCGAGGTGTGCGTGGCCGACTTAGTCGTAGCTTCCACTCCTCGCTCAATCCCCACGTGCTATGGGGTAAGGGGAGAAATGTTTTCCACAAGCTTGATTTGTCCATATCGACTTTATTGCGGGAGTGAAAGCGGCAAGAATCAGGTGCCGCCAACATACTATTCGGAAGTATCAAACATGGTACGAGCCCTATAACGCGTATAACGTATAACGCTAATCATGAAGGCCAAAATGATTACAAGTGCTATCCCTTCTGAACGGAATTTGAAGTGTTGTTCCTCAGAGCGATAGTAACATTACACCCAGCTTATTCTACAATCAACAAAGCGATAAATCATAAAAAAGGGCATTTCATCCCCAAGGTTCTCTTCCGAGGAGAAATCGTGAAGATCTCGTTGACACAGCGCTCGAATAAAGTACTTGTTCAGAAAGTTACTTGGAGAGCCGGAAGTGAATACGTGAAGCCAGTAAAAATAGAATTATGTCACTCTCAGAAACTCCATATAAACGTCGTCTGGCCAACCTCTCGTTTTCCTCGAGTAATCAAAGGTCACAGCCTACTGAGACTGACTGTCAGGGGTTTTCTGGGTTGATACTATGTTTTAACTGTGCTCTCATGAGTTTTTATAAGGCAAAACCAAATCACAAAAGCCACTACGACTACTAATGGGAGCAGTATTTATGGCACATCGCTATTGGGATGGATCGGACCAGAATGCTTTGTACTTCAACGTACTTGTACACTAGTGGAGAAGAGATGGCCAGAAGCCGATTCATAGCCATTTGTACCTGGGCATAGACAGAACTAAACCAGAATATCATGGTAAGTTGTCCCATCCTCTCTCCGAAATAGGATAGAGTTATTGAATCGGAATAACCCCTGAAATGTGTAAACATCTGAAATTCACCGTGCTCTAGTGAACATGGATCTGGAAGGCTTCACACATTGATCTCTCCAAGGAAGTCGGACAAGCTTATTAGAATAGTTTTCAACTCACAACAACGCGGCCGGGGCAACCCAAAACGAGAAGATGATGAGTACTCCAACATCGGCGATCAAGTGTGAAGCACAAATGTAACCAAAAGCGTTGTGGAAGGAAGGTGTACGATAGATCAGCGCGACAGCCGAGATATTTAGAGCAGTTCCAATGACACCAGTCTGAATCAGAGTTGACACATGAACCCAGGCTATGCACGCAGTCATTTGTTTTCCAGCACAGGTAACACTTCAGGGAAAAACACTCTCTCGTGAAGGAGAGACTCTATGAAGGAGATATGAGTAGAATATTGTAGGCCCAAAAAATATTCGATAAGAAAAGGAGCATTGATGCAAACCCACTATCAATATTACTGTCCCAGCGATGACTTGATCTACGCGATCCTGATCAGCGAAGGCAGACATTGAGCGAAGTCGAACTGAACCGCTAAACTTTCGGAGGTCGAAGCGGAATATTCATCAAAAGTAAACAAGTTGCATACGCACGCTATGACATCTAAAACGAGGGGAAAAAAAAGAAACTTTCTCAAAAAGTCTGGAAAAAGCAAATTTTCTGGAAAAGGAAACTCAAGGGGAGCGTATAGCCGTGTTTATGATTTTGCTGCATATGGACGCGCGCAACTGCAGCTCACTAAAGGCATGTTTCGTGATCCAACAAGTAAACCCGTTCCCCCACATATAGCGTTGTTGGACCTGCAACATTAGAAAAAGATAACTTTCGCGAATAAAAAGGGGTCCGCGATTTGAAGCTGCAAGGCGGGGCTAGGTTTTGTGTGGTGGTTAGCCTAGAGCGAGAACTAGAGGTTCTTAAGCTTAGGGGCAGCGACATTCCGCACTCCACCAGCATCCATAAAAATCAACGCGTATTCCAGGCATTTTTAAAAAAATTTCCCCTTGACCGAGAAGTGAGCCCTTTTCGCTGTTTCCTGTCCAGTTCCATTAATCCAATTCTGCCTCAACTGCCATGAAAGTGCAAGGCAAGTGGTAGCCATGAAGCTATCCAACGCACACACATGCACGTGTATATATGCAGTAGGGTCAGCAGGTCGGAAATTCTCAATTTCGACCTAATTTCGCACAAGAGATAGGGAATCTAATGGAGAATACGGCATGTAGCGTCGTTCGCAAATGGAAAAGTCTAGTGCAAGAGTGCTATGTTTTCGAAAATGCCGTTTTCAACGCTTGATTGATTGCAAGCTGTGCTGGGATTCAGGGTAAGTGTTTTACGCTGTGCTTTAAGCATTAGACAGTACGAGAATACCTAACTGAGTTTGGACGCATTGGACTTTCTTCCGCTCAAAAGTGTCGAAAGAGTTCGTTCAGCACAACACTCCTCGTAATACAAAGGGTATGAGGCGTCGTAGGAGCACAGAAAGGACGTCCATTAAAGGATTTTCCAGGTAGTTTTGGGAAGGCTACATCACGATATAAAAAAATATGGCAATACCATGTGATTGATATTTGAAGAATGAATGAATCCCCTGCACTTAACAACAAAATTGGATATCATCATATGTCATACCGTAAAACACGAGCTAACGCCTGATGTCGACCTTTCAGCTCAGAAAACAACACTGCAATGATAAAGGGGTCAGTTCAAGTTCAGCACTGTCATTAAGTTGGAACTTCAGCAATGGGATGCTTGGTAGTACCAACTTGGTACTACCAATCCCATTCCACTGAAGAATACAACCGAAAACTGAACTACAATTCGAATCTCTATTTTCAATTGGTGTTCTGACAAGGCAGAGTAAAAACAGGGACAGTGATGCGATCGAGATTTGCGTCCTTTTGCTTCAACTAGAGAGACTAGACAACAAGTCGGATAGGGGGAGCGCTAGTGAGGAAAAAAACAGCTTTAGAAAAACATGAAACTTTTTTTGATAAGGGCGGCCGTGGATGAGGGAAAGACATAGCACTGTGGTGAGAGGGAAAACGAGGGGACACGTCGTGCGTTAGAGGGCTCAATCCACACGTATGTCGCTATTTGACAAGGATGGCACAGCACGGCAGCACACTAGGCAAAGCTTCGACGCCGTTTTCGCGCACTTTTGTGTAACGATAGTGTTGTGACTCCGCGCTTGAGGAACTCTCTTCCTCACTTCAGGACAGGACTGGCCAATAGGACCTAATCCCGACTCGTGGCTTCAACAATTAGCAGTGCAACCACCAAATCTATCGTCTGTCTAATAGAATGCTGATGCTTTCTCAGCATGCGAGCATTACTGCGCTTAATCTTCGTTGAATTCCACGCAGCTTGCAAGCTTCCAAGGCTCCAATTTTGGGAACGAAAAACGCATTTTTCAACTGCTTCCAATTTTCAACGATCGTCCTTTTCTCTTTTCCCAACGACAAATTTGTGATTCTGAGGCATTTTCAGTATTTGTTGGCAGCACAAACCATTAGTTTCCACGCGTTGCTATTGTATATATGTTCTTCTGTCATACTGTCTCTCAGATACTCGAGAAAATGAGGGTGAAAATGTTTTGATGATTTTTCCGGAAAGAAAAAATACAAAGCAACAAAGCAAACGGTAGGATGGGAAGAGTAAGATTTGAGATGAAAAATGGGTGCAGAAAGCCAGCCAATTAGTCGAAACTAGGGATGTACCTCAGACTTTATTATGGGTGTGGCCATTCCTTGACGTCGTTGTTAGGGTACTAGAAAAACTCTGAATCACAGTGCGATAAACATCCGTTTCCTGCGTTTCGCAGATCTCTACGATAATAATGAGCTTCTCACCTAGAGGTGCAAACATACTGAGGGAAGCACTTTAGGTTGAAGTGGGGACCTTCAAGGAGAGAAATTTTTTGACCACTGCCTTTGAAGATCTGCCAAACGCTTATTGCTTTTGATGGTTTGTCAAACGCTCATTGGAAGCAAATTATTAATGTTTGCTACGCGTTCTAAGGCTGTCAAGAGTTACAGCGAGTCGAAAGATTGTCCCAATTACTGTAGTTCATGCATTTCCATGCTTTTTGAAGGCAGGGAACACAAATGCCGGAGGGTGGAGTGAACTTGGCGACAACATTGGACGTCTTCGGCGTAATATGACGTTCTGGATGTGGTTGGGGCCACCTCTTGAAGTCCTTTAGCAACCACGCTCATTGACGACACCAAATCCGCGCTCCCGCCAGCCATGGCGTTCACTGCCTCTGCGCGTTCAAACAGAATGGTAGCAGCGATGATCAAAATTACACAGCATTTTTCTGAGATCATGTGCAACAACAGCTCTCAATCAAACTTCGGAACGTCCGGCTCCAGTATGGATACATGTCGAAGGTGTGCTCTTGATCTCCTTGCAATGCACGTGTTCCTCATCCAATCATCTCTGCATTCCTGAGAGCTACTTCCAGTGTTTCACACCGGTAAAAATAGTTTAAAATGCGCCACTCTCAATCGTGATAACGTTGGGAATAGCTTGATCAAACTCACTTTGATACGCAACGAAAAATTGGCTGATATGCGCCATAAGCAAAATGCCTGTTTTAACCTATGAGAGGGGGAGGAGTTGCAAAAAAAGTCACTTTGCCTATGGCCCACATCATCAAGCTTCCTGTAGACACATGGCGCCGCTTTCGGTGGAAGTTTTACGCCAAATTATTACTCGGATACCCCACGCTAGCCGAAGCAAGCCCTTTTTCATTGCCCCCACCTTTTCTAAAATAATCTGTAATCTGCCATCGTCGAGGCCAAGAAAGTCTACTCCGGTCGCTCCAGCCTGAAGCTGGACACAATTTCTTCAATCGATTAACTGGTGAATAGCTTCTTAGAGACACTAGCTGTGACTGTGCAAGACCGCTTTTGACCAGCGTTTCAGAGACGTCGTAATGGTCTATGGTACCTCGACGACCTCGTTGAGCTCGTACCGTGAACCATGTTTCCGTGGGAAAATCTTCTGATGTCGTCGGTGTAGAAGGCTGTTAAGTAGTTTTAGATAGATTGCAAGAACTCTTCAGTATTTAATTGGCCCATTCGCTTTTCATTCAGCAAAGTGTAACTGATACCGTTTTGAAACTGGAGAGATATTAGTCTTTTTTGGTTCACACTCCACTGCACACAAGTCGTGTGCAAACTGCTACGCATTCGTATCCATCATTCAGCAGCTGGAAGCGCTGCTGATTCATGGCTATAGCACATTTTTTTACCATTATTTATTACGAATCGCTCTTTGAAGGGAGGCAGCGAAGTTGCACACCACTGTCAACAAATTAAGTATAGAACATACTCTTGTACAAAAAAATTTTAAAAGTTTTAGTTGGTCAGTATGTAAGTACAGCCCCTAGGTTTGTCGTGAGAAGCCGGCTTTCCACTTTATCGCCACTGTCGTAAAGCAGAGGAGTAAAGACGTCGCCATCATTGCAGATTTCCTGATATGTTTACAGCCTCAAAATCTTTAACAACGGGGAAGAGGCACGCTGTGTATCTGTCGGTAGAACAGTTTACAGGGTGAGCGAAAATTACGATAACAACATAAATTAGTCAAAAAAAGCAATGTGGCCGGGAAGTCTCAAAATTAACAACACCAGCCTTTTGGTGGAAGTTATCAAACAGAAAACAATATTACTTCGGAATGAATGCATCCTGTGTTGATAAATAAACGAAGACTTCTTAGGTCATCGACTCTGTTGTGTGAATAAGTGTTGTTAAGTAGGTGCAAGGCTTCCTAAGCTACTGCTTAACTAGTTGATCCTCCTATTATGCTTGTAGCAATGCTTTGCCTTCGACACGTTCACTACAGAGAATTATGATGATGAATTTCACGACATTCTGTTGGCATCAATTTCTGGTCAATCTATGCATTGTGGGTGGGCGCCCAATCTTGCTCTGATGTTGCGTGTTTTCTATGGATGTCCTTTTATTTTGAAGCACTAACCGAGACAGAGGGTTTGAGACGCTTTAATGGTTGAACAGCAGAAATGTGGGGTGTTTTCAAATCGTGATTCCTGCTCTCACGATCTCTGCGGAACACTAAATGGCTGGCTCGATTTTCACCAGCAATTAGTCGCGCTGCTCTTCTTGTTCTCTTCTCATCAGGAGAAACAATCCATAAATGAAGCTCATTACGGAAACGAGACAAACTCTTTCAACATCTTTGCTTTCTATTCAATTTCTACGCACAGGTCAGATGTTATGCATTTTTAATGCCTTTAGAATTTCATGTTAATTGGTGTGCGAATTCCGACGGCAGTTTCAGGGACCAAACGACGGATTGAGCAAGCTCTGCTCCGACGCTTCTTATTTTCGAGATTTCACTCGTGAAGTCGTACAAGCAGTCCTCTTAGGTTAAGCCTTATTGATGCTGGTAATCAGCTTATTAAACTTCATGATGGTGGTTGACGGAAGTTTCAAAGTGCTTGTTTCAAAGTGCTTCTGGATTGTCTTGCAATGCAACGCAAGCAAAC